AAGTTTCTTTTTCCTGTGAATACAATTGTAAGTTTTACTTTTATTCACTTGTGAGGTAGTTTTAAAAAAAAAAAAAAAACTTGTGCAGCTGAAAATGGTAGTAGCTTTGATCTTGTGCAGCTGAAAATGAGCTCGATATGTTATAATTTTAAGGGAAAAAGGACAAAAATCTCCCCAGTTATGTCTCAAAAATTAATACTATCATGAAATTTCTTATAAAGATAATTATCCCCTTGACCTGCTTGTCAATGACAAAGGTGATCCCTTGATGACATATTTTGACTAAAAATGTGTGTGTAACGCAAAAAAAAAAAATAAAAATAAATAAATTTCTAAAAAAACTATTTTTCAAATCCAAAAGTAAAAGTTACGGATTTCTTAAAATCGAAAGATAAATATGGATTTCGGAAATCCGTGAGACTTTTTTTTGAATTTTAGAAATCGGGAATTGGTCAATCTCTACACCATAACAATTGAAATATATTTTCTTATCTCCGTAAAATAATTTTTTATTTAATGCATTCGGATATCCTAAATTTGGTCTTTGATTAGTTATGCTTAACTATATGCATTAGTTTTGCATCAAATCCCTTTTACCCTATTAAAGCAGAAGACATGAAGCTTATGTGGCAACTATGTATGCATCTGTTTTGATTCCAATGCACTATATTTCAGATTTCAGGAGTCTTTTTGCCACGTGTAAGTCTCTTTTAATTAGAAGCTATATAATTTTTTTTTAAAAAAAAAAACACATGTTTTACCACAAATAAGGATCAGTTACATTTCAAACGAATGGATATATTAATTCAAATTCAAATGTCCAATCGTAATAAAATCCGGAGTAAAAGTCTCTCAAGATGAATAGCTTCCTCAGCACAAATTCTTCCCGATCACAATAAATTCCATTAAATCTGTAAAATCAAAATTCAAAACTCTCATTTGGACCTTCCTAAACTTCATTCAAATTCTATAATCTCTCTTTTTTTCATGATTCAATCGGCTACTCAGCATTCCAGCATCACCTGTGCCACCTCGAGTTTCCTCCTGGCCGCTTCTCTCATCTTTGGTCGGCATAGAAATCCCTAAGCGACAGTGTCGGATCTGGAGTCAGCCGCTTTGATAACCTCTAGCTTTTGATCCCAATACTTATCTTCTCTGACGAAGACGTCGAAGAGGAGAAAGAGGAACAATCCAATTCGGCTTGATTCGGGCATTATGGTAAGATATACAACAAAGATCTCCGTCATTTTTTGCATAGATATTATTATTTGTTAAAAAAGCCATAGGCACCAAAACGGTCAATCAGTGAGATCAATGTTACTGTTACAGTTGAGATCAATTGAAATACTGCCATCATCAGGCTGAATAACGCGTGCGAATTATTGGTCGCGGAATCAAATCCCCTTTGAATACGAAAGATTGGACAATCGGTGGTCGAAGGGCCGGAGGACGATGGATCGAGGTAGAAAGCGGCGGCTGATATAAAAAGGTAAGGGCAATTTTTTATTTAGGATTTCTGTTTGGGTTCTATTCTTTTTTGGTAATTTCTCCTTTTAAGGACGTTTAATATATTTTACTAATGGGTTTCAATGACTGAAGTGTTCTTGAAAATGGGGATTTTTTCTTTCCTACATTAATTTTGGCAGAGCAGTGTGGTTTTTAAAGAGTTGGTTGACGGAGAATTCTTTCATGAACCTCCTCATATTCAAGGTAAATTTAATTATTGATTGATTTGGGTTATCTATTGTTTACTGGGCTTTTTTTTGTTCATGTAATTTTTCCTCCAAATGACACGAGAAGCATTGATTGGTTAACCCAATTCCATATTACCAGTTAGGCCTACACGTCTCAGGATTCTATTTGCTTTTAAAGAATAAAGGTGGTAGTTTTGATTTTCTTTCTGGATGATTAATTCAATTTAATTTGATAAACACAAGAAATAATCCCTGCAAAATTTCTAAACAGCTTGATATGATGATTTATCCCTTCAATCATGTTCAATAGTGTTTTTTCTTTTCAAATCAGATTTGTTACTTAAAACAGAAACTGATAAAGAGGAAATTTCTACGCATCCTCAATTACAAGTCTTGGATCAAGTTAGGATCAACTTCGATTGCGATACTCCGGTTTTTGACTTGGTAAAGTTTCTTTGGCAGCTTGATGTTTGATTTGTCATTCAGCAAGAACGACTTGAAGAAAATGGAGGGGAGATTATAACAGGCTTTTGTGTATGATAATTATTGGCTTCTACTGATGTTAGGGCGAAGCTTATTGTTTGTTTTGATCATATGATTTCAGTGTTATATTATACAACTTTTTTGATGTATTTTCCAGGATGCAGGGCTATTATGTTGTTGCTCTATCACACTGGTATTGACCATCATTGTCTCTATACATGCTATAAATCTTCTTGAGAATGAAGAAGGATGAAATCAATACATGGAGAATATATTAATCTCAATGTATAATTATCTTTATGCTTTAGTGATTACTCATCTCCATTTCTCTTCTTTGATGTCATTTTGCTGAATGTTATTCGACAAACCAACTACTATAAGCATTATAATTGTTGCAGTTTGTTGTTTGGGAACACAGATTTCACTACATTGGACCGGAATTGCTTGCTGATGTGTTTTTAGTTGATTCGGGATTTATCCCAGCAGATGATGAGTACCTTCTGGCATTACCAAGGCTGCCTAATTGTGAAGGATATGAAGATGAGCTTGAGAATAATGGGGATGGCTGAGAGTTGTGGATGAATCGATTTTAGTTTCACCAGGGACAATTCCTCTAGCTACTCTTTTGATGCTTAGGAGGTGGATTTGACAGATAAATAGAATCTGGAGATCGAATGATGTGGCTAAAGGATTTGATGAATAGAGAAGAATTATTGATTAAGTTTTGTTGATGAAACTATATAGGGTAAAGGATGGGAAATGGTCTGTCGTTGGAAAACTAGCAACAAGTTTTTGCTTATCATGGCGTATAATCGTATATATCATTACTGGGATTAGATTTTTCATATGGGGGGTCTACATCTTTTAAGTTATGGCTGGATAAATGACTACTGAAAGTCCCAAAAATAGTATAATCCATTTATTTTTATGGCTCTCTAAATGAATCTATATTTGTATATTTTTTAATTTTACCAGATGTTAAACCCGTTACATTGTTGTTTGACTTTTTTTTATACAATGTAAAAAATGTGTGTCGCAACCCTTGTGAAATAATAATTATTAAGATTTTGAATAAAGAAAAATGTGATACATAAATAAATTATTTATATAGATATATATTTACTCATGGAATCAAAATATTAAAGGCGGGTACAAAGATCGAAATGTTAGACAATTGTTTCAGTAAATAAATAAATATATATATATATATATATTGTCATTGTAATATATTCATTTTAAAAAAAGTGATAAAACTCTACTTCAATTCAGCAAAAGGGACAACAAGCCCCAAAAAAAGTCCAGCCAGCGTCAATGGATGAGTTCGACTAGGAGAAAAAGACGAAAATCGCGTGTCATTAATTTGGGTTAGAGATCCAATCGACGATCCGAGTGAATGATCGACGACCCGGTGAATGATCCTCACTATCGATGGTATCGTCTATTCGACCATGAACCAGCGATGTAATGCAAAATTATTTTGCAGTATCTACCAAATCCTCATTGTCTCATCTTCATCTAATTAGATTTGATGAAATAGACTACCGACTAAATAAATTTTTGAACATAATTTTCAATCATAACGATTCTGTATTTAATATTTTAAAGAGTAAACAGATACTTGAATACAAACAAGCCTTCATCCCACAAGAATGTATAAATTAACTCTTAAATAATATTTTTATTATTATTTTGTCATAAGAAAATTTAACCTCATAAAGAAATGTCATAGAATATTCGAAAAAAAATCTGAAGACGGCCGGCCGGCCTTTTGGCCGGGCCAAGCATCGAGTTAATTCTTAACTCCGGTATCACAAATTTAAGTATTTTTAATTTCGGATTTGTCAAATCTGATTCTGCCTTGTTTCGAATTTCACAAATTCAGCAGATTTACTTTGTGTCTACTCTGTCCAGCCGAATATATTTCCATTCAGATCGGTCCCAAGAAGATATAATTTCGCTAAAAATCTGTATTTATCGTCCTAACCTCCAAGGGAATAATAATAAAGTATCGGTGCCATGAAAAGCGTAATTCGATTTTGACTAGCTAAGGTAACTTGTTGTAGGGAATACGAAAAATGCATTTGTACAATAATCATTTAGTTCCTTATGGTTCACGTTGATAAAAAAGGACATGCATGCATTGAAGACTGATGAGCAACCAATTGTTACAGAGAATTGTGACATATGCATAAATGAGGTATTGGAATTAGGTAGTACTCCTCCATTCTAAATTACGTTTCAATAAATTAGAGAAATTCTAAACTGTAAGTGTCGTTTTTATATTTTAATGCATGATTTTTCAAATTTTTTCCCCCAAAAATCTCCCTTCATAAAAGTACAACATGATATCTATTTGTTTTAATTGATAAGTTAGAGATGATTCAGAAATTTACACAGTGAAATTAAATGATTCTTAAACTGTGTACTGTTTATCTATCCAGATTTATTTTAAAATAGAGTGAGTATTATAAACTATTATCTCCATTCCTATTTATAAGAGGTTTTGACAAGCTTTTTTCATTTTCTTTTTATAAAAAGTTTTATATATATATTTTTTAAAAAATTTAATGACGTTTTTTTCTCTCTTTACCCTCACAACTAACCAATTTAAAATTAATTTAACCATTTTATTAATGTTATTAAGAATAATTAAAGAATTTACAATATTTTTGAGACAAATTTTGTTAGTTTTATTATTTTATGTAAAATTAGTCAACTCCATCTTATAAATAGGAATAGAGGTAATACAAACAAAACGATGCCAAGAAGCTCCTCTGTAGTCTTCCACTTTTAGCTTACATACATGCAATTATGCAAAACCAAATGGGAAAACATGTCAGCCCCAAATCATTAGGGACTTCCTTCTGCAATCTGCTTGTCTTGTTAGCTCTACTCTTACAAACTTGTTCAAATCTTGCTAAGGCTGGTTCAATAGTTAGCTCTCTTCCGGGTTTTGAAGGACCTCTGCCATTTGAGCTAGAAACAGGGTAAGCAGCAGAATGATTGACAGTTAATTAGCTACTTGATTTGTTTCTAGTTTAGAAAAGGAAATAAATGATCTTTTGTGGGTTTCGTGATTGAAACATGCATTGCAGGTACATTGGGGTAGGTGAATCAGAGGATGTGCAATTATTCTACTACTTCGTCAAGTCAGAATCCAATCCGGAAACCGACCCGCTTATACTTTGGTTAACTGGAGGCCCTGGGTGCAGTTCATTTTCTGGGCTAGTTTTTGAGATTGGTAAGTTTATGATTCGATCTCAATCCTTAAAGTGAAATTTGATCATTTCTTGAATTTCGTGTTGATGGGCGGTTGGTTTTTTCTGTAATTTAGTTCATTTGTGGCCTTCAAATTAATTTGCAAAAGCTTGACTGCATCTGGTCAATTTTTATGAAATGGCATTCAGCCCAAGTGATGAACTTGGAGATTTTTTGCAGGACCAATAAAGTTTGAACCTTTCCTCTATGATGGGAGTTTGCCCAAGTTGATACTAAATTCATATTCTTGGACAAAGGTATTAAATTAAGTTCATTGAGAATAGTTTTGAGTATTTAAGGACTAATGTCAGTATTTTTTGATCTTATTTGTCAGGTTGCAAGCATTATATTTGTGGATCAGCCGGTGGGAACTGGATTCTCTTATGCCAAGACTGCCAGAGCTTCTCTGTCTACTACATTAAAAGATTCTAATCAACTCTATGAATTCCTAAAGAAGGTACACAACTCACGGTTATTGCGGAATTTGAAAGAATTTCTGAACCCCCACACTTGATTAAGTGGTGTTAGAAATTAGAGGTAGGCACTGATGAAAACATGGAAATGTTTAAGCTTTAATTAGGAAAGTGATAGTAGTCCAATATCTTTATTGATTACCTCCTTTCCCAAACTGGTATTACTACAATTCTATGTCCACTGTGGAATCCTTAAGAAATTCTGTGCAGCTACACTGTCTTAATGAATATAATGAGTTGGCAAAAAGCTAGACTGTCTTAAAGAATTGGCTGCATCAGAAGTAGCTATATTTTGACTGTTAGATTACTACTTGACAGTGGCTACTTGATCACCGCGAATTCATTGCAAATCCATTCTATGTTGCTGGAGACTCTTATGGAGGCGTTATGGTTCCAATAGTTTCTCAACTTATATCAAATGGTAAGACTTTAATTACAATTACAAATGTCTTTTTTCTGGATGCTCTAATTTTCTAAGAATGTTAATGGCAATCCAGATTAGGCTCTTAAGAGATACCATGTGCAAGTGCATGTTTAGTGTTATTATGTAATATGTAAAATGGGTTCAACAATGTGAAGGTAACCATTTAAATGGAAAGAAAATGGAACAAAACCTCAATTACGAAAAGCAGAATCCTTCACGTGGAGAATAGTTTTTACATCTTTCTTTTCTCGTCATACGCACTGAAAATGTACCAGCGCTCAAGTGATTCTTTGAGTTGAAATCTGTATATATCCAGCGTTAGTAATAAATCTGTTCCGTGCAACATCCAGAACTAGTTGAGACCTATACATTATATTGCTGAAAAGTACAAGCAAAAGAAATCAGTGTGTTAAGTGGAGAAAAGAACAATATTAGAGAAGATTTACTTGTGTCTTTATGCCAAATGCAGGAAATGAGGTTGAAGCTGAACCAATAATTAATCTGAAGGTTTGTCCCACTTTGAGCCCTCTCTTCTTTTACTCGTATCAGCAAGTAGCAGTCCGTATTGTTTGGTGGTAATTATTTACTTTCTTTAATTAAGATAATGTTGTTCATATTCACATTTCTAAGATGTTGCACTCATCAAATGACTTCAGGGTTATATGGTTGGAAATCCAGGAACAACTCAAGGTGATGGAAACTATGTAGTCCCTCATGCTCATGGATTGGGGCTAATTTCGAATGAACTCTACCAGGTAACTGGATGGTCTTTTCAGTAGCTTAACAATCATTTATAAATTTCTCCTGTTGTTTAATCCTGCTCATTAATTGGTTATCAATTGTTTCCCAGTCCTTGAAGGATAGTTGCAAAGGGGAATATCAAAGAATAGATCCCAGAAATGCACTCTGCTTACAACATATGCAAACATACAATCAGGCAAAGCCACCATTTCTCCCGAGAAAATTTATAGCTTTTATGAATCCTACTGCAGCTATTAGGCAATAAGGACACCCCTGATACCTCCATCTTCATAAAGTTTTTTTGTTTTCTTCCCCTCTGAAAGGAACACAATTCCAATAAAGATATCATGAAAGAAAATTTGTTTTATGCAGTTGCTTAGTGGTATTAATTATCCACAAATCCTGGAGAGAAATTGTCCTGCTTTTTGGGCTGGACCAACCAAAAAGTTTGGCGAGGAAAGATCCACTATTGAAATTTATTCACAGAAGATCCAAGAACTCGGATTTCAGGAACGTGCTCCAATTACATGTCGCGTAAGATAGTGATATCATCGAATTTCTTTACAATGACATTAGATTGAATTTCTCTGTTTGAAAGTCATATGGTTGTTGTGATAGATGGAAGGTTATAAGTTAGCATATCACTGGTCTAACGACAAAAATGTCCAGGAGGCTCTCCATGTACGCGAGGTACTATCTTTGGTAGTAAAAAATTCGCTTGCATTTGGATACAAGTGTATGCATTTACTTTCGTCCAAAATTATACATGTATCTGTATTTTTGGACACATTGAGATGGCAGGGAAGCATTGGTGAGTGGGAACGATGCAACCGCAGTTTGTCATTTATGGGTGATGTGGAAAGTGTAGTACCATATCATGCTAACCTTAGCATTAAAGGTTACCGATCCCTTGTATACAGGTTGGATGAAAAATCCATTTTTGAACATTATGAACCTAGTGCATTCATTCATACAAAAGTTGTTAGAGATATGTGGATCAGTAGTACTTATAGTAAAATTTTTGTAATTCAGTGGCGACCATGATATGATCATACCTTATTTGGCAACGCAAGCCTGGATAAAATCTCTGAATTACCAAATCATTGATGATTGGAGACAATGGATTGTTGAGGACCAAGTCGCCGGGTATAATTAAACAGTGTTTTTCGTTTTGTTTTGTTTTGTTTCTATTGTTTCTTGGATGAATACTCTTGAAAGTAACTGACATGAAGTTCTGGTTTCTGATGGATAATGCAGTTATACAAGAACTTACGCCAATAAGATGACGTTCGCAACAGTTAAGGCGAGGATTCCATCCTTTTTTTCTGTAGTTTCCACTCTTAATATCATTGTAATAGAAGTTGAAAATACAATGATTAATAATGCAACAGGGAGCTGGTCATACTGCGCCGGAGTACAAGCGCAAAGAATGTCTAGACATGATCAAAAGGTGGATATCTTATGAACCTCTCTAGTCAGTCGTCAAAGATCGCACAAACATCCTTTTCTCATTCAAAGGTGGAGAACACTCCAATGTGGAGGCGGGGAAGTTTTCATCTATTTTCATTGAAATAAACTTTCAAAGCATTTAGCAATGATAAAACTCTTATGAAAATGGATCTTTTTCCATGGCCTGCCTCTCTCTGCAGAATATCTTTGGACGAAGGATACTTACTCTATTTATTTTGTGTTGTATATATGTGAACTTCCATTCATGAAGTTTTGTGCTCCTCGCCAAAAAATAATCATAATCATAGGTTCTTATATGCTAAATCTGCAACCAAACTATAGCATTCTCAGCTTCTCATATCTCATCCACACTTCCGCTACTAAAACATAGCGTGCTTATAATGTGGATAGCAATCCCCACACGGTATTTGAAAAAATATTGGATTGTATAGAGTAACACGAGCTTTGTTCATATAAATTGATTGAAGTGGGTGTCAAAGGATAATTTCTAGGGGAGAACATAGAATTACAGGAAATTTGGACCATTTGAAGTTTGAATATTTTGGTTGATTGATGAAAGGCTGAAAATTTGGTTTGGTATCACGAAGGAGATCAGCGTCAAAGATGTATAAATCCACAAGACTAAACGAGTCAATTAAAGTGAGATAAAACATTTAAAAGAATATAAACAATGCCCTTTATAATAATTTTGATTTTTATAAAAATTCTCCCAATATCTTTCGATTGTACGGCTGTGTTGGAATCATGTTTTCTTCGTCATTTTTAATGTCTCTGACTCTCTGTAATCTCTCTCTCTCTCTCTCTCTCTCTCTTTTTAGTGGATTATTTTTGTGGATGGAGAAAATAATTCATTATGAATCACGTGACTAAAAAAGGACAGGCATGCATTGTTAAGCAACAACCAATTTGCTGTAGAAAAATCGGTATAATTAATAAAACTGCATAACAATGTGTCAACCAATGTCAGATTATCTTTTGAGAGATCATATTTACATATAGGAATGCGGTCGTACTTTGAAACGCATAGGGTAAGCAGTCTCTGGGAAACAATGGTTTAAGGCTTAATTTAAGCATTAATTAGGATAGTGATAGTGGTCACGGCTAGAAAATAATGTGTATAATTTTTTTTTTTTAAAAAAAATGAGTTGGCCTTATTTAGCAGAAAAAATTAGTTATATTTTGATTGATGATTACTATTTGACAGTGGCTCATTGATCACCCCGAATTCATTTCAAATCCATTCTATGTCGGTGGAGACTCTTACGGAGGTTTTATGGTTCCAATTGTATGGTAAGAGTCTAAAATTATCAAAAATTTCTTTTAATTTTTTTTTTTTTGGGTATATATTAGGCACCTTAATGTCTGAAATTATTATTCCGACTAATCTGAATTCGAGTCGGTGGGTCTCTCTGATGAAGTAAAATTCTCCCAATAAATATTTTCTTTTTCATACTATGCACGGTGTTCTAAGTGCATTGCACTCAGATTAATCTATATCGAGCCCGGTCGGTCTTCTTTCGGAGGGAAAACTCTCCCAACATTGCTCTTTCCATTCACGGGATTATCAAAACACTTTACCGCTTTGACCAAGCAAGTATTGGTTCCCAATAAATAGTTTAATCACTCTCTTTATCTAAATGGTGTAATTTTCTAAAAGCTAGGAATTTATGAGAAAATATTGGGTGCACCAGCTCAGCAGCTTGACGTGGTGCATCCGTCCAATGCCATAACGACACGTTTTGTTTTTTCCTTTCCCTTTCAGCCGGTTTTTTATTTTCCTCTCTCTTTCTTTCTCCTGATTTCTTTCGGCAATTCGTCCCAAATTAAACTCAAAAATCACTTGCAGATTTAACTCCCTTTGTTCACGCCGTTTCTACTATTGCCGCCAGAAAAGGAGGAGTTGCAACGGCGTTCATGAAAGAATCGGGAAACAATTCCCCAAATTTTAGTTTTGATAGTTCATCGTCTTCTCCCCTTATTCTTCTATTCAGGCTAATCGTAATTAGGGTTTTTATCTACAATCTATTTGCAATTTCTTCATGCGATCTTCGAATCTAATTAAAAGTGAACATCAAGCATTTTTGTAGTTTGACTATTGCTGAAGTAATTTTTTTTTTTTTTTGAATGACTATTGAAAAAAAAGAAGAAGAAAAACTTGGGCTTTACAGGGGATTTTTTGTGTTCTTGTTTTTAGGTCCGGTTTGATCATTTGATGCTTATCTGAAAATCTGAATGGTTGTCGGGAATTGGGATGATTGTTTCTTTGGATTGAAAGGATTGAGACTGATTCCGTCCGTGAATTTTCCTTTGTAATTTTTTTTTGGATTTTTCAGTCTAGAAAGTTCAAATGGAGGCATAAGAGAAAGATATTCTTTTTCCTTTTTATTTGTCTGGGTTTGCTTGTTCTGATGAAATGAGAAGGAATGTTAGGGATGTAGAAGAGTGAATGATTCAATGGAAGTTCGAACAGCTTGGTCCAATAACTTGGATGAGAAGGAATGTGTTATGGGTTTGTACTATCCTTTTTTCGGCTTTTCTATGGGTTCTTGTGTCCAATAACTCCATTGGTGATAAGAAATTCGCAGAAGCCCCCATAAACAATGGAGATTTTATTTGGACTTCCAACCAATTCACGATGAAGGAGGATGAACGGTGGGAGATAAATCTGCATATGATTTTTTGAATTTAATTTGGGATGAATTGCAGAAGGACATTAGGAAAAACAAACAATAGAATAGAGAGAAAAAAGAAAAACCGTCACAAGGAGAGAAAAAAGTATTTGTTTGTTTCCTTCTCAAGGAGAGAAAAAACCGTCACAAACAATAATTTAAAAGCTTCGTTTGTTTCCTTTTTTTGTTGGTTTTTTCAAAATTTAATATTAATAACTGTCTCATTCCAGCATACTTTTTTACATTTCTAATACACCTTTTTACATTTCCAATACAAAAAACACCTAAAAACATACACTAAAAAAAGAAACAAACAGATCCACGTAAAAACCGGCTGAAGAGTGAAAAGGAAAAAAAGTGTCGTTATGGCATTGGGCGGATGCACCATGTCATGCTGCTGAGCTGGTGCAGCCGGTGCACCCAATATTTTCTCAGGAATTTATAGGCCTTGTTAGGTGTGGGCCGACAAATTACAAAAGTAAAATTAAATAAATCTTTTTTGAGTGGATATTTTTCTCACATTTAAGTGGGTCCATGGAAATGGTTAAATTTTTTTTTAATCAAGAGCTTTAATTATGAGAAAAATGAATATTAACTATGAATTTTGAATTATAATAAATGCGCTATTAATCTTTTTTCCATTTGCATTCTTGAAATAAAAGAATATAGGGCGATCTACATTTTACTCTCCGAGTTCTGGCCTTATCTACTATAAACTTCTCCAATTTTGATAATACTACCATAACCCTCTAAGTAGGGATTAAAACATTGAAATAAGTAAAATGGCCACGGTATATTTACACTTCATTTCCTATTCATTTTTTTTGGTTTGTTTCTCTGTTTTTCATCCATTAAAAATGATAATTACTTAATTTACCATTTTCATAGTTTAATTATAATATAAGTTAATAAATAAAAGTTAATTTAGAAGTTTTAAAATAAGTTATGGATGGAAATTATTTTATTTCAAAAGAAACAATATTGGTAATAATGAAAATTTGTTATTTAAAGAATTAATATTGATTTTTTTAAAAATTAATTAAGATATAGTTTTAGAAACATTTAAATTGTTTAGTTAGAAAAATATAGAGAAGTGTATTTTAGACCATTTATACAAAATTGATGATAATGTTCGTGTGTTAAGAGGCCAGTTGGTATGTTCACTACGAGTTAAGAGGGTATTCGGTAGTATTACCTAAATTATAAAATTATAAAGTAAAGTATTTTGTTCTTTAATAATTATAAAATTTAAATATTCTTTTTATTTTACGTTACAATACGAGGAAACTAGTATTGACTTTTTACAACGATTTGAAAAATTTTATGAAAATGTATAGCAAAATAATATTTATGTACATATACAATGTGACAAAGGACAACCGACAACCATTGATTGTTTTTTCAATTATTCATTGAATTATAATTATTTTTGAAAAATTTGGTTTTTCAATTTATTTGATTAAACTATACTCAAAATATTAGACAATATTGTCTAGGTAAATATATGTTGATATTTGGGACGAAAATGAAAAGAAAATGGAACGAAAGCTCACTTATAAAATGCAGTTTCCCTTTCGTTCTTCCACTTGTTCTTTACATCTTATAAACCTAAAGAGGAATACAGTCGTATGATATATTTATGTCGAGCAAAGTACACTAACTCTGGCTTGATGTCTGCCATGGGTTGAAAGCTAGGAAACTCTTAAAAATGCAAAGTAAAAATGAATGCCATAACACAGGAATAGTATTCGAGAAACTGCTGAAGAAATCTAGTTATGATGGTGTAAATGGAGGAAATGAGGTTGGCATTGAGCCGAAGAACGATCTGAAGGTTTGTTCTTCTATGAACCCTCACTTCTGTTAGTCTACCAGACAAAAGAAAAAAAAAAAAAAAGTCTCCATAATGAGCATGGAACTGTGGCTCCTATGAACCCTTATGTTGTTCCTATTCACATTCCTAATATGTTTTGAAATGTTTAGGAATGTTTTGAAAAAAATCTGGTGGGAGAAGATCCAGTATTGAAATGGTTTTCTCAAAAGATCGAAGAGCTCAAAGTCCGGGAATCTATTCCAATCAAATGTCTTGTAAGAAGATGATATATGCGAGGTATATATAAGCTTTGAGATGCTAGGGAAGCATCAGTAAGTGGGTACGATGCAGTAGCAGTTTGTCATTCACGGATAATGTGAAAAATGTTGTACCATATCATGCTTACTAACAGGGAGCGAGTCATACTCCTCCGGAGGACAAGCGTGAAGAATGTCTAGCCATGTTCAAAAGGTGGATATCTTATGAACCTCTCTCTACTCAGTTGTTAAGTATTCCACAAACATCTTTTTCTCATCCTTGAGGATCTCAACACTCCAAACTGGAAATGGAGAAGTTTAGTCTATTTTCAATGTAAGAACTATCATAGTTAGCACTGATCAATGCTCGCTCCGGTCCGCATTTTGATTTTATCTTAGGTTTCACCTAAGATGTCTGTTTAAATGAAATAAAAATCTTAAAAATACTTCCTAATAATTAAGAGAACACAAAAAATGTGAAAATATATTTTTTAGATTTTTTCTCAATTAGAAAGACATCTAAAGTGAAATCTAAAAGAAAATAAAAGTGTATTATAATAAGAACCAGAGAGAGTATAAAATAATACCAAAACGTATGGTTTCCATAGCTGAGATCTTTGCAGAATATATTGAACGAATGATTGCAGGATATTTTCTCCAATGATTCTGTGTTCCAGTCTTTAGTTTCTTTATATCTAAGTATCAAAGTAACTCGATTTTTAATATATTTCGTATAGCGCACGTGAAAAATTTCTAATACACGAAAATTCTACCAACAAAATTTAATCTATTAAGCAAATGCACTGTAACTCTTTGTAAAAAGAGGTGAATATCGTTACTCAATTCAATCATAAACGTGGCTAAAAACGGCATGTATGCATTGTAAAAGAATACCGTGATGACATTTTATATGAATAGACCAAACAAATCGATTAAAAGAAGCTTTTTCTGTATTCCACACTTTTTAGCTTGCAAACAAAACAAATGGGAAAACATGTTTGGCCCAAATCAATCAGGGCTTCCTTCTGCAATCTGCTTTTCCAGTTTCTTCTGCTCATGCAAATTTGTTCAAATCTTGCTAAGGCTGGTTCAATAGTTAGCTCTATCCCAGGATTCCAAGGACCTCTGCCTTTTGAACTAGAAACTGGGTATATTTGACAAGTTAATTGCTCTGTTCTCGTAGAGTAATTGATTTGTTTCTTGTTTAGGAAACGAAAGAATCAATCTTTTATGGTTTTGTGATTCTCATGCATTTCACAGGTATATTGGAGTTGGTGAATCAGAGGATGTGCAATTGTTCTACTACTTCATCAAGTCAGAATCCAATCCTGAAACCGACCCGCTTTTGCTTTGGTTAACTGGAGGCCCTGGTTGCAGTTCATTTTCTGGGCTAGCTTATGAGATTGGTTAGTGGGAAGATGCATTTTTGTTGTTTTTCAATTGATTCGATTTCCCATTCTTAATGTTAATTTTGATCAGTTCTTAGATATTATGCTAATGGTAGTGGTACCATAGGTTTCTTGTAATTTTTAGTACATTTGTTGGTCTTCAAATTTGCAAAAATCTTTGAAATCTTGAAAAAGGGCATTGGGAACTCTGAAATTCATGATTGGAACTCGCTAATTTCATGAATAGCAGAAAATCTGACCAAGTGATGGACCTTGGGATTTTTGCAGGGCCAATAAAGTTTGAACCTTTCTTGTATGATGGGAGTTTGCCCAAGTTGATACTAAATCCGTATTCTTGGACAAAGGTAGATATACATTTGTCTTGTTTCTTGGGCAAATGCCGATATAGAAGGATTTGAGATGTGAAGGTTGAGAATGATGTTGTCTTCTTTGTTAGGTTGCAAGCATTATCTTTGTGGATCAGCCTGTAGGAACTGGTTTTTCTTATGCCAGAACAGCCAGAGCTTCTGATTCTACTTCCTTAAAAGACTCTGATCAACTGTATGAATTCCTTCGGAAGGTACATGGCACAAATGGTTCCTAAAGAACTTAATAAATTCCTAAATCAGGCATTACAACTACTTGTGCATTTTGAAATTCTTCATAAATTTCTGCAGCTCAAAGAACATAAGTGATAAGTCAATATTCACTGTCTCCATGAATTGGTCGTCTTAGGTGTAGTTAATATTTAACTGTTGATTGCTTGACAGTGGTTGATTGATCACCCTGATTTCATTTCAAATCCAGTCTATGTGGGTGGGGACTCATATGGAGGCCTTTTAGTGCCAATTGTTTCTCAACTTATATCAAACGGTAAGACTTTAAACTCATATAGTTCCTTATGTAGATGCTCTACTTTTCTGGGATTATTAATCAGCATCTAGATTATATTCTCAAGAAATTTTTGATTAAGTAAGAGATGCATCCTTGCCAACTGCATTCTTAGTCTTATGCTAGATTGGTTGACACAATGTAATGCTGATCTTCAAATGGCGAAGAAAATGAAAATAAACCTCCATTGGTTCCTTAAGCGGGAGAATCATTGCAAACCAATGCAGATAATGACTAGTTCTTCCCCAACACTTTTCCCTTTTACTTTGTGTTTATGAAGTCGTTAACAAGTTTTTCCAAGTTCTTCTGTTCTGGGAATATTTGTATCTTTCTTGTTTTACACTTTGAGTTAAGTATAGTACCTTACACAGTTTGATGGTCCACCGCAAGTTGAAAGCTAGAAACTCTTAACAAAAGTGAAAATTGATGCCTTGAAGAGAAATAGTATCAGAGAAAGGGCTGAGGAAATCTTGTGTAAATGCAGGAAATGAGGTTGGAATAGAGCCGAAGATCGATCTGAAGGTTTATTCTTCTTTGAGCCTCGCTTCTTTTAGTCTAGCAGCCAAAATAACCTGGGAAAAATGTCTCCCTAATGAGCTTGGAACTGAGACTTTGCAATTGGCTATATGTATATTGTATAATAGATTTCTTTAAATCACTTAAGCAGGTAGCACTGTGTCAGTGACTGTGTCATACTGTTGTTATTGAGTTTTTTCATGAAGATCATGTAGTTCCTATTCACATTTCTAAGATGTTGCTGCCGTCTCATGACTTCAGGGTTATGTGGTTGGAAACCCAGGGAACACTATAAGTGATAGAAATTACAGAATCCCATTTGCGCATGGGTTGGGGCTGATTTCGGATGAACTCTATCAGGTTGGATGGTCTTTCAGTAGCTTAAAAATCATCAATAACTTTCTTTTGTAAGTTATCCTGCTTATTAACAATTTATCATTGTTTTGTAGTCCTTGACGGACAGCTGCAAAGGAGAATATCAAAGAATAGATCCCAGTAATGCACTCTGCTTACAGCATGTTAAGAGATACAATCAGGCAAAGAAACCATTTCTCTCTAAAAATCATACAGCTTATATGGTATTCTGTTTCAGGAATTAGACTATAAGGATATCCTGATACCTCCATCCATATGCATAGTATTTTTTTTATTTTTTATTTTTTTTCCTCTGGAAAGAACATAACTCCATCTGAGAAATCATGAGGCGAAATTGTGCTTCTGCAGTTGCTTAGTGGTGTTAATCCTGCACATATACTAGAAACCATTTGTTCTTTTGCTTCGCCAAAACCAAATGAAACAGATGGTAGCAGAAGGTCCACTATTGAAATGTTCTCTCAACAGATCGAAGAGCTCAAAGTTGGTGAACCTACTCCAATCAAATGCCGTGTAAGACAATGATATCATCAAATTTCTTTACAGACTTGGATTGCATTTTCTCCTTTTAAAGTCATGCGGATGTACATTTGATTAATATGATAGATGGACGGCTATAAGTTGGCTTATTACTGGTCCAACGACAAAAATGTTCAGGAAGCCCTCCATATACGCGAGGTATATACAACTTTTTGACGGTAAACAAGTTTCTTGCATTTTGACACAAGTGTCTGTATTTAGGTATCCCTGTAATTATGTGTGTATTCGTATAATGTTGCAGAGAAGCACTCCAGAATGGGTACGATGCAACAGCAGTTTGTCATACACACGTAATGTGGGAAGTGTGGTACCATATCATGCTAACCTTAGCATTAAAGGTTACCGATCCCTTGTATACAGGTTGGCTAAGACTTCATTTATGAACATCAAGAAACCTAGTGCTTTGTGGACCAGTAGTACTTAAATGTGGAAATTTTTGCATTTTAGTGGTGACCATGATATGATTGTACCTCATTTGGCAACGCAAGCGTGGATAAAATCTCTAAATTACCAAATCATTGATGATTGGAGACAATGGATTGTTGAGGGCCAAGTTGCTGGGTATAGTTGCATTGTTTATTGTTTCCAAAGTTTCTTAGGTGAATACTTTGGAAAATATCTGCCATGAAGTTCTGATTTGTTATGCATAATGCAGTTATGCGAGGACTTATGCCAACAAGATGACATTCGCAACAGTACAGGTAAGAAATTCATCTTTTTCTATCACTTCAAAAAAAGTGAAAGGTAAAATATCCTGAGACCTAACCTCCAAGATTATGCCGGTTGATCTGACAGGGAGGGGGTCATACTGCGCCAGAGTACAAGCCTCAAGAATGTCAAGCCATGTTCAAAAGATGGATTTCTAATGAACCTTTATAATTTAATCAGTTGGCAAAATACCCCATAGGACACCTTTTCTCATTCTTGAGATGGAGAGGTCATCTATATCATCAATTTTCTAAAGAAGAACTATCAAACCATGACGAATTAGTAATGGATCATAGCAGGGGGGCTGTGCAGAATTGATGGAAGCAGACATTCCTCTATTGATTTTGTGTTCTGAATTCTTTCTAGTATACAGTACTCACTGTGTTGTTGGACAAATGTTGATATTGTATAGTATGGTAGTAACTCTCTAAGAACAATAAATATTGATTGGAGATGTCCAATATTTTGAACAGGTTTTTCCAAAGGTTTCAATCTCCATTCCAGGAGTTGAGACTTGATTCTCAAGACACTTTTGTAAATTGATCAAGAATGCTACTAACCATTATTATAAAAAAGAAAATGGAGGGAGTAATATTTAATATTATAATTCAGAAAAATTACAAATCTACATGATAAATATATATATATATATATAGTAAAATATCGCTAAATTAATAATTTGTAAATCAATAACTTCAAAAACTCACAAGGATACTTCAACAAAGTTGAGGATACAATAATATTATAAATACTTCCTCTGTCTTAAAATGATTGTTCAGTTTAAGATTTCACTCTCTGTACAAATTGTACTAAAGTGCAAGACTCTTAAATTCTGCAATTTTGAAAAAAGAAGCAGACCGATGATGCTTATGATGCAGTTGTCATTCTGGTAATTTTACCTACGTATCGTTTTGGTCGGCTTTTCTTGTTTTTATGAGTTTTGAAATCAATATCCTTTTCAGATTTGTGTGTTTTATTATTAGCTAGTTTTTGTGTTCCCTCGTGATTGCTGAGATTTTTCTTCAAACCGCTGTAGTTTCTGCTGGAAAATAAGGTACCAATTTCGCGTGCATGTGAATAAATGATTTTTTTTCCTTCTAAAATATAATGTTTTTCATATATAATGTTGACTAATTTCGGTCTCTAACACAAATTAATATTGATTGTGTACCACGAAATGAATCCCCACCAAATTATATGATACGCATGCACATTGTGTGTTGAGATCTTTTGTTTTAGATTCGTACATTACTAACAAATATTCATTTTGTCCCGAAACACAGTTTGATTTGGATTTTATTTTAAGACAGAGAGAATATTGTTAAATAAATATAAAATTGTTGATGTTGAATATTATAATAGTAACATGTCTCTAAGAACAATAAACATTAAATGGGAGAAAAATGATACTTTTAATGAAATAATATGGTGAGAAAATATAACAACTGATGTACTTCCTATTTTGTTGCCACTTTACCGTTGAAATTTTTTCTTTCCCTCTAAAATTATCCTTTTACCCTTAATTACTATTGACACATGAGTCACTATGTATTTTCACTATTTTTTCTCACTATCTTTAATGTACAATATTTTAAACCTACAATCTTAATTTTGCGGGAGTACCGTGTTTTCCAAAGGCTTCAGTTGTGTTGATTTGATTCTCATGCCGTAATATTTGTAAATTGATCAAGAATGCAACTAACCATCGCTATTATTACCCCATATAAAATGACCATGTGCTATATATTAACTACTTTACGCAATCAGAATATACTAACCTGTGTTTTCAAAACCGGACGGGCCCGGGCGGTCTAACCGGTTAGCCCAGAAATCGAAAGCCTTATCGATTTGATTTTTATAAAAAATCGGATTTTGTATAACCTGATCAAACTCGGTTAAATTCGAGTAAAATTGCAGTTTGACCAGAAATCGGTACCAGTTGAATCAGGTTTTGTATATATTTCTTAAAAAATTAATTTTTAAATCTTTTTTTAACATTATTTTAATCGATTTTTACTGATTTTGAAGAACGAATTAACCCGTTAACCCGATAAATCCACCAATTCGGTCACGTTAATAGTTCACCTTCAGGTCCGATTTTGAAAACATAGGTATTAACTTGAGGGCAAATAATATGGCCATTATTTGTGGACAGAGGTACTGTAAGACTGAAAAAAAAAGTCAAACATGAAAAAATAAAGGAAGAAAGGTACTCTTTTTTCCCCCCATTATGTAGGACATATATGTAAAACATTTTTGTTTGTGTTCATGATATCATTTTCTCGTTTCTTTTCCCTTCTTTGTCCCCTTTCCCCAATTGTCAAAGCAGTTCCTCAAAACACCTAGATCAGTGAAAATTGAAAAATGTTATTAGCTAGAATTTCTTTTGACAATTACCATTTCCTGTAATCATCAATAATTACGTACTCAAAACTTAACGTGGACTATTTTTCTGGGACGGAAGTAGTACAATTCTCATAAAAAAAAAAAAATTATGTAAGGGAAAAAAATGGAGAAAATGCAGAGGAAATTAGTGATGAATAAATTATTGTTTTTATTCACGTGGCAGTAACTTGGCGTGCATAACATGCATAAAAGGATCCCAACCAATAATAGGAGAGAATGATTTAGGCCGGAATTGTGATATGAAATGTACGGTGGAAGGTTGTGGAAAAAACAAAGACAATTATATATTTCTGAGAATTCAAAGCATTCACTCTGTTTTCCTCTGTTTCAGCTTACCGTGAAATGGGAAAGCAAATTAGGCCCATATCATCAAAAGGGATGAATAATTCACTCTTCTTCTGCAATCTGATTTTGCTGCTTCTGGTCTTACAAACTTGCTCGAACTTTGTTCGGGCTGGTTCAATTGTTAAGTCTCTTCCGGGGTTTCAAGGACCTCTGCCTTTTGAGCTAGAAACTGGGTGAGTGGCAGAAAATTTGCCAATTTTTTGATGATAGTGAACTGGGTTTTTTTCCCAGCTAAGAACAGGATTGGATTGATCCCTTTGTGTTTGTGTAAATAATTTCACCATGCAGGTATATTGGGGTTGATGAATCAGAGGATGTGCAATTGTTCTACTACTTCATCAAGTCAGAATCCAATCCGGAAACCGACCCGCTTTTGCTTTGGTTAACTGGAGGCCCTGGTTGCAGTTCACTTTCTGGGCTGGCTTATGAGATTGGTAAGAGTTCTGCTTTCGTTGATTGTTTGCTCATTGTTCAATCTCCATTTCCAATGTGAATTCAATCATTTCTTGCCTTTTGTGTTAAGGAAACCATTGGGGTGTGTGTGTGTGTGTGTGTGTTTCAGTATATTTGTTGGTCTTTGAATTTGCCTAAGCTTGAAATCTTCATTGTGTTTTAGTAATGAAGTGAAGTGCCATTTTGAGCAAGTAACAAACTTGGGAATTTTGCAGGGCCAATAAAGTTTGAACCATTCCAGTATGATGGGAGTTTGCCCAAGCTGTTGATAAATCCATATTCTTGGACTAAGGTAAATTAATATGACTTTTAGTTGGCCTGATGTCAATTTTTTAGGATTCAATTTGCAAGATTCTGCCAAAGCAATAATGGTTCTTCTTTCTTAGGTAGCAAGCATCATCTTCGTGGATCAGCCTGTAGGTACTGGATTTTCATATGCCAGAACTGCCAAAGCTTCTCATTCTAGTGATCTCCAAGTCTCTGATCAACTCTACGAGTTTCTTAAGAAGGTAAGCCGCATGAGTCATGACAGTTAGGGCAGAACTGAACGCATTTCTTAATCACCATACGTGATTGGTGATAATCTGGTTCATTAGAGATTACCACTAATGTAAAATTAGGAGAGTTTGAGAATGAATTAGGAAATTGTTAGTAGTCCAATATTACATTTGAGTACCTAGCTCCTTTCCTTGATAGAGGTTACAGTTGTGCACTATGATATCCTCCCTCCATTTTGCAGCTAATCAATTTTATGAATTCCTTCGGAAGGTAGATGACACAGACGGATCATGCTGAACTTAATAAATTTCTAAGTCATGTATTACAACTCCATGATGTTACAAGTCCATGGGCATTGTGAACTTCTTCATAAACTCTGCAGCTAACAGAATATTCATCCGTCTCCATGAGTTGTTTGTATGAGAAAATAATAGAATTTTGTCTCTTGATTACTTGGCAGTGGCTGATTGATCACCCTGAATTCATTTCAAATCCATTCTATGTTGGTGGAGACTCATACGCAGGCATTATAGTTCCAATTGTTTCTCAATTTATATCAAATGGTATGGCTTGAGAATCATTTACATCTTGGTTTAGATGCTGGGACTTTACTGTGAATGTTAATGCTTGACAAGCTTAGTACCTGTGTATCTGGATCTTAAAATCTTATGATAAATGGGATAAACAAGTCTGAGGTGGATCGTTAGAAAAAGTTCTATTGCAAGTTCCTTTGCCGATAGAATTTTTGCAAATTATGCATATAACCACTTGTTTTTCGTCTAGCCTCATTCTGTTTAGCTTGGTTTCAGGAAATTGTCATCAAGATTCATTTTCTTTGAAGTTTTAATTATATGGTTTATATCTTTCTTGTGTCACACTTTTAGTTAAGCATAATACACTGTACACCTGTGGATATCAGGCACTAGCTAAAACCTAGAAGTGGTACGAGGAAAACATCTGATCAGAAATATACGTCTTTGACTGAAAATGACTAGCATCAGAGAATACAAGGATCTGAAACTTGATATTATTGCATAAAATGCAGGAAATGCAGTCGGAGTTGAGCCAAAGATCAATCTGAAGGTTTGTACCTCATTGAACCGTCACTTCTTTTAGCCTAGCTGACAAAACAAACTAGGTAAAATGTATTCATCATCAGGTTGGACTGAAGATTGCAATTTCTTATAGAATTATATTAGGTTTCTTTTAATCACCACAGCAAATAGCAAGCAATTTGTCACATGGTACTCATCTACATTTTCGTTAAGGATCCATGTTGTTTTTGTTTATATTTCTAAGATGCCGCAGCCATCAATTAACTTCAGGGTTATGTGCTGGGGAACCCGGGGACAAATGCAGCTAGTAACAACTTTCAAATCCCTCTTGCTCATGGGTTGGGACTAATTTCAAATGAACTGTACCAGGTTGTATGGTCTTTCAATGTATAACAATCATCTTCTTGGGAATTACATTTCTGATTATTTACTAGTTCTTTACTGTTTTGCAGTCCTTGAAGGATACCTGCAAAGGAGAATATCAAAAAATAGATCCCAGTAATGCACTTTGCTTACAATATATGCAGACATTTAATCAGGCAAATAATTTTTTTTTCTCTTGTTCTTTATAGCTTTTATGATACCCAGATTCAGCAGTTAGTGAATAAGGACACATCCAGCCATCTCCATAAAAAAGTCATGAGACAAAATTCATATTCTTGCAGTTGCTTAGCGGTCTTAATTTTGCACATATTCTTGAGCAAAATTGTCCTTTCGCTTCGCCAGAACCAAGCAAAAACTTTGACGGCAGGAGATCAGCTATTGAAATTTTCTCTCAGAAGATTGAAGAGCTCAAAGTTCGGGAACCTACCCCAATTAAATGTCGTGTAAGATATTGGTGTCACCAAATCTCTTCCACAATGACGTTGATTAATTTTCTCTTTTGAAAGTCATGCATTTTTCCTTTTGATTGTTATGATAGATGGATGGTTATAGGCTTGTTTATTACTGGTCTAACGACAAAAGCGTCCAGGAAGCCCTCCATATCCACAAGGTATTTACCCTGTGGTGATAAGAATTCGCTTTCCTTTTGAGACATGCGCCTACAAGTACATTCTGTCTGTAATTGAGTTCGCCTCCGTGTTTTTTATCACATTGCGCTGGCAGGGAAGCATTGCTGAGTGGATACGGTGCAACTATGGTTTGCCATATACAACTTTTGTTGGCGATGTTGTACCATATCATGCTAACCTTAGTATGAAAGGTTACCGATCTCTTGTATACAGGTTGGACTCAAATACTTGCATTACCATTAAGCACTTAGTGGTATATAGTTATGTGGATCAATTGTTCTAATCTTTAAGTTTTTCAAATTCAGTGGTGACCATGATTTGCTTGTACCTCATTTGGCTACTCAAGCATGGATAAAATCTCTAAATTACTCCATCATTGATGATTGGAGACAATGGATTGTTGGTGGTCAAGTTGCCGGGTAAGATAAATTATTGTTTGTACCCTAACTTGTCTGAAGACTCTTGAAGTAGGTTATGAACTGCTTTTGCTTGCATTATACAGATATACAAGGACTTATGCTAACAAGATGACCTTTGCAACAGTAAAGGCAAGAATCTCTCCCTTTCTCCCCTTCCTCGATATGTGATTATTATCATTCTAAACGAAATTTTCCGGGACTAACCGCCTAATTTCATGCTGCTTTATATAACAGGGAGGTGGTCATACGGCGCCAGAGTATAAACCAGAAGAATGTCTAGCCATGTTTCAAAGGTGGATGTCTAATGAAACTCTCTAGTCAGTTGGCAAAGATCCGACTTGGTATATCTTTACTCATTCTTCAGTAACAGAACCTTTCAGGTCTGGATATGTTCAATACAGAACTATTAAAGCATAGAGTAAATATTGAATGAATCGATCAATTCTTTCTTTTTGTCCTTTTGAGAATCCAGGCTGGTGCAATATTTTTGGATGAATTATTAAAGGATATTCCTCGACTGATACTATCTGTTTTCAATTTTGATTTCCTTCTATAGTCAGTATATATACTATGACACGGGCAATGTTCTTCTTGTATGATGATTGTACTAATATATCTGTTACAGAATGAAGCTTCAATCTTTGCAAGCTTCAATTGCAAGCTTCAATCTTTATTTGAGTGGTGCCTTAATTCTCATGACAAAATAAGCCATAAATAAACTAATCATAGATATTACTATCGATTTCTCCATGATTTGTAAAGAATTGTTCGGTATCAATTTCAAAGTAAGAAGAGGAAGATTCAGTCGAGCAGAATTAGGGTTCTTGAGAGTATTTTCTGTAAATAAAATCTGTATTGATTATGTGTATATTAACTCTGTCTGTACAGCATATCTAGTGCCTTATATACACATTAATTATAACTCTCAGCAACAGTCTAAACTACTTAATATTGCATAAGTAGTCCCTATATTTATACACGTATCACATTATTACCCTAATATATACAATCAAATCAGAAGCTAAGAACTACTGCTAATCTGGTTCCAGATCTTTGATATCATTCTTGATCTTCAATTCTACAACTCTCTTGATCCCATTCATACAAATAGCTGGAATAGATTGTTGTCTATATAAAAAGTATGTTTGGCAGGCTATATCATCTAGGATTTCGGTGCTTCCTTCGTCCTATTCGATGGACATAACTTGACGAGCATACTTGCAGAGTTGCAGTAATAAAGAAGGTTTTTATTGTCGGGACGTACGATAACGGTACAAATTTTTTGACCAACATGAACTCTTAAAAAATCGAAATTGTCTAAAGTGCAAACTTCATATACATAGAGGAAATGTTAATGTACCTAAAACAATAAACAAATACATAAACAATGTGGGAATCGAATGTTGTCACAGCGGTCGTGGTGGATAGGGGCCTGCTGGATGACCCAGGATGGAATTTGGGGGTTGAGTGCAGTTACTAGGAGGTAGATCAGGTAGTCCAAAAAAAAAAAAAAAAAAAACATAAACAATAGTAAAAAAAAAAAAAAAAGGAAAATAAAAAGACCTACTCCATAAGTTTGAGTAGGATATGTGCTTAAGTAAAATAAGGGCCTAAAGCTTGTAAATAAACATTTCTTATTTCTGTAAAGTTTAAGCATTTATCCATCGTTAGTGAGAATCTGAGTTTTGTCTTCTTTATAGACTGCGGGGGAAAAAAAAGACCAAAAAAGAGTCAATCTGTCTCATCGTCCCATAAAAAGGAAAAAAAAAAAAACAAACAATCTGTCGCGCTTTTACCTTTCCAAAATCAGTTCTTCTTTGAAACTAACCTTATTTAAAAAGTTGGTGGAATTGTTGGAGTTAGTTTTTCTCAAATTGTTAAGGGAAATGGCCATTTAGAAGAAAGCTAATGATTGGTAGACTAAAAAATTTGTTTTCAATTCGCATGGCATAAATGAACACATAAAATATTTTATGTAAGATGACGGGCTTGAAATCAGATCTGCACTTCAAAGATTTTGACTTTGATCCTACGGTAAGATGGCGAAACATTATAGGTTCATGTCAAAAGGGAAGCAGAATCCATTGATGTGCCATCTTTTTTGGGCGATTTTGCTCTTTCAAAGTTGGTCAAGCCTTGCTAAAGCTGGTTCAATTGTTAAGTATCTTCCAGGATTTCAAGGACCTCTGCCATTTGAGCTAGAAACTGGGTGAGAGTGGTAGAAAATTTGCCAGGCTTTGTTTCCAGCTAAGAAAACATAAAAATTGATCCTTTTGTGTTTGTGTAAATTACTGTACCATATCCAGGTACATTGGGGTTGATGAATCAGAGGATGTGCAGCTCTTCTACCACTTTATCAAGTCAGAATCGAATCCTGAAACCGACCCGCTTATGCTTTGGTTAACTGGAGGCCCTGGTTGCAGTTCCTTTTCTGGGCTGGCGTATGAGATTGGTAATCTTTTGTTTTCTCAACGATTTCTTGCTTTCTGTGTTGATAGGATCATTGGGGTTTTTGTAATCTTTTCAGTACATTTGTTGGTCTCGGCATTTGCAAAATCTTGAAATCTTGAAAGGGTCTCAGTAGCACTGAAAACATCATGAACGCAACTGGCTTTAGTTATGAATCGTCAATTTGAACAAGTAACAAACTCCGGAATTTTGCAGGGCCAATTAAGTTTGAGCCATTCCTGTATGATGGGAGTTTGCCCAAGTTGATGATAAATCCTTATTCTTGGACAAAGGTTATTTCAGATGTTTTTTTTTCCCTTGGACTAGCGTGCATGTTTAAGAATTTGAGTTGCACAAGATTCAAAATGACACTGGTCCTTATTGTTACTAGCTAGCAAGCATCATCTTTGTGGATCAACCTGTAGGAACTGGATTTTCTTATGCCAGAACTGCCAAAGCTTCTCATTCTAGTGATCTCCAAGTCTCGGATCAACTCTATGAGTTTCTTAAGAAGGCAAGTGGCATGAGTCATGACAGTTAGGGCAGAACTGAATGCATTTCTTAATTACCATACGTGATTGGTGATAATCTGGTTCATTAGAGATTACCACTAATGCAAAATTAGGAGAGTTTGAGAATGGATCAGGAAATTGATGGTAGTGCAATATTACATTTGAGTACCTAACTCCTTTTCTTGTGCACTATGATATCCTCTTTTTCCTCCATTTTGCAGTTAATCAATTTTATGAATTCCTTCAGAAGGTAGATGACACAGACGGATCCTGCAGTAACTTAATAAATTTCTAAATCATGAATTATAACTCCACCTGCAGTAACTTAATAAATTTCTAAATCATGAATTATAACTCCATGATGTTACAAGTCCATGTGCATTGTGAACTTCTTCATAAACTCTGCAGCTAACAGAACATTCATGCCTGTCTCCGTGAATTGTTTGTATGAGGAAGTAGTTAAATTTTGTCTCTTGATTACTTGGCAGTGGCTGATTGATCATCCTGAATTCATTTCAAATCCATTCTATGTTGGTGGAGACTCGTACGCAGGCATGATAGTTCCAATTGTTTCTCAACTTATATCAAATGGTATGACTTGAAAATCATTTACATCTTGATTTAGATGCTTGAACTTTTCTGAGAATGATAATGTCAAGCTTAGACTCAGATCTAAATTTAGAGATGATCTGTTTGTCTGGATCCTATAATTGTATGTTAAATGGGATACAAGTCTGATGTGTGTGGATCGTTAGAAAAAACTCTATTGGAAGGAGTAAGGTTCCTTTGCCGATGGAATTTCACAAATTCTGCATACAACTTCTTGTTTTCTTCTAGCCTCATTCTGTTTAGCTTGGTTTCCTGAAGTTATCATCAAGATTCATTTGCTTTGAAGTTTGAATTATATGGTTTGTATGTTTCTTGTGTCACACTTTTGTTGAGCATAATACACTACACCTGTGGATATCAGGCACTAGAACGAGTAAAGCATATAAACAAAAATTTACACTATCGGCTGAAAAAGAGTAGTATCGGATGATACAAGGATCTGAAACTTGATATTATTGCATAAAATGCAGGAAATGCAGTCGGACTTGAGCCAAAGATCAATATGAAGGTTTGTACCTCTTTGGACCCTCGCTTCTTTTAGCCTAGCTGACAAAACAAACCAGGCAAAATGTCTCCATCACTAGGTTGGAACTGAAAATTGTAATTTCCTATAGAATGATATTAGATTTCTTTTAGTGACCACAGCAAAAGGCAAGCAGTTTGTCACATGGTACTCATTTACATTTTCATTAAGAATCCATGTTGTTTTTGTTTCTGTTTCTAAGATGCCGCAGCCATCAAATAATTTCAGGGTTATGTACTGGGAAACCCGGTGACAAATGCAGCTGGTGTCAACTTTCAAATCCCTCACGCTCATGGATTGGGACTAATTTCAGATGAACTGTACCAGGTTGTATGGTCTTTCAATGGCTAACAATCATCTTCTTGGGAAATACATTTCTGATTATTTACTAGTTCTTTACTTTTTTTTAGTCCTTAAAGGATACCTGCAAAGGAGAATATCAACAAATAGATTCCAGTAATGCACTCTGCTTACAACATATGCAGACATTCAATCAGGCATATACATATTTTTTTCTCTTGTTATTTATAGCTTTTATGGTACCCAGATTCAGCAATTAGTGAGTACGGACATATCCAGCTATCTCCATTAAAAAGTCATGAGACAAAATTCATATTCTTGCAGTTGCTTAGTGATCTTGATTTTGCTCAAATCCTTGAGCAAAATTGTCCTTTCGCTTCGCCAGAACCAAGCAAAAACTTTGATGGGAGGAGATCAACTATTGACATTTTCACTCAGAAGATAGAAGAGCTCAAAGTTCGGGAACCTACCCCAATTGAATGTCGTGTAAGATATATGTATCACCAAATCTCTTTCACAATGACGATTGAGTTTTTTCTTTTATAAGTCATGCATTTGTCCTTTTGATTATAATGATAGATGGACGGTTATTGGCTAGCTTATTACTGGTCTAATGACAAAAACGTCCAGGAAGCCCTCCATGTACGCAAGGTATTTAATCTTTGGTAGTAAGAATTTGCTTTCCTTTTGAGACAAGCGCCTACAAGTACATGTTGTCTGTAATTGTGTACGCATCCGTGTTTTTGAGCACATTGAGCTGGCAGGGAAGCATTGTTGAGTGGATACGATGCAACCATGGTTTGCCATACACTACTTCTGTTGGAGATGTTGTACCCTATCATGCTAACCTTAGTATGAAGGGTTACCGATCTCTTGTATACAGGTAGGACTTAAACGCCTGGTTTATAAGATTAAGCACTAATTAAGTGGTATCATTATGTGGATCAATTGTTCTAATATTAAAATTTTTGAAATTCAGTGGTGACCATGATTTGCTTGTACCACATTTGGCAACTCAAGCATGGATAAAATCTCTAAATTACCACATCATTGATGATTGGAGACAATGGATTGTTGGTGGTCAAGTTGCCGGGTAAGATAGATCATTGTTTATACCTTAACGTCCTTGAATACTCTTCAAAGTAATTTATGAACTGCTTTTGCCTGCATAATGCAGTTATACAAGGACTTATGCCAACAAGATGACCTTTGCAACAGTAAAGGCAAGAATCTCTCCCTTTCTCCCCTTCCTCGATACGTGATTATTATCATTCTAAATGAAATTTTCGGGGACTAACCGCCTAATTTCATGCTGCTTTATATAACAGGGAGGTGGTCATACGGCGCCAGAGTATAAACCAGAAGAATGTCTAGCCATGTTCCAAAGGTGGATGTCTAATGAAACTCTCTAGTCAGTTGGCAGAGATCCCACTTATATCCTTACTCATTCTTCAGTAACAGAACCTTTCAGGTCTGAATTTGTTCAATACAGAACTATTAAAGCATTTAAGAGTAAATATTGAATAAATCGATCAATTTTTTCTTTTTGTTCTTTGAGCATCCAGGCTGGTGCAATATTTTTGGATGAATTATAATTAAAGGATATTCCTCGATTTATACTATTTGTTTTCAATTTTGAATTCCTTATGTAGTCAGTATATAAACTATGACACGGGCAATGTTCTTCTTCTTTGATGATTGTACTAATATATCTGTTACAGAATGAAGCTTCGATCTAGTGGTGCCTTGATTCTCATGAATCAAGGCATAAATAAGCCATAAATAAATCATAAATAAACTGATCATAAATAAACTGATCATAGTAATAAACTGATCATAGCAAAATAAGCCATAAATAAATCATAAATAAACTGATCATAGATATTACTATCAATTCTCCGTGATTTCTAATACCACTCTCTCAATCCCATTTCATACAAATAGCTGGAGTAGATTGTTGTCTATATAAAAAGCATGTTTGGCAGGCTATATCATCTTGGATTTTGGTGCTTCCTTCGTCCTATTCGATAGACATAACTGGACGATCATACTTGCTTGTACTAATAAAGAAGGTGTTTATTGCCGGGACGGGAAAGGTACAAATATTTTGACAAACATGGTCTCTTAAAACATGGAAATTGTCTAAAGTTCAAACTTCATATACATAAGGGAAATGTTAATGTACCCAAAATAATAAACAAATACATAAAAAATAGTTTAAAAAAAAAGGAAAAGAAAAAGAAAGAAAGGTTAAGAAAGATAGATAGACTATTTATAATTTTAGTATGCCTCTTTCCATTTTACCCAACTCTCCTCTATAATAAAGCAAGATAAAGCGCGTGTTTTTTTAAGAAAAAAAAAGAAAAATATTTTCATTCATGTATGCTAAAAATCGTCTAGTTGTGTTTGATTGAAGACCGCAGAGATATACAACCAAATATTACAAGCATCCGTACCATTTTTAGCTATCTCTGCAAACTCGTGTGCTAAGGTATTTTTGCAATATATTACGTAAAGGTGTGTTACAAGAAATGCTTTAACTATAAAATTACATCTAATAAAATAAGACCAAGTCCATAAGTTTGAGTGAGATATGTGCTTAAGTTATTAAGTAAAATAAGGGCCTAAAGCTTGTAAATAAACATTTCTTATTTCTGTAAAGTTTTCATACTCAGTGAGGATCTGAATTTTGTCTTCTTCCTACTGCGGGGGGAAAAAAGACCAAAAAAGAGCCAATCTGTCTCACCGCCCCATAAAAAAGAAAAAAAGCAAACAATCTGTCGCGCTTTTACCTTTCCAAAATCAGTTCTTTCTTTGAAACTAAATTTCAAAAAGTTGGTGGAATTGTTGGTAGGTTTCTCAAATTGTTTAAGGAAAAGTCCCTAGAGGACGAAACTTGAGAGGAAAGCTAATGATTGATAGACTAAAACTTGTTTTCAATTCGCATGGCGTAAATGAACATATAAAATATCCTCCCTCCGTCCTAAAATTATTGTGTAGTTTGAGATTTCATTTTTAGTTGTGCAGTTTGAAATTTCATTTTTAGTAACTAAAAATAACTATGTATGGTTGTTCAAAACTATACATGTTACTAAATATGTATAGTTTTTAGTAACATAAACTATACATCTCAAACTGCACAATAATTTTGGGAGGGAGGGAGTCTCATGTAAGATGACGGACTTGGAATCAGATCTGCACTTTTATGATTTTGACTTTGATCCTACGGTAAGATGGCGAAACATTTTAGGCCCAGGTCAAAAGGGAAGCAGAATCCATTGATGTGCCATCTTTTTTGGGCGATTTTGCTCTTTCAAAGTTGGTCAAGCCTTGCTAAAGCTGGTTCCATTGTTAAGTAACTTCCAGGATTTCAAGGACCTCTGCCATTTGAGCTAGAAACTGGGTGAGAGTGGTACAAAATTTGCCAGGTTTTGTTTCCAGCTAAGAAAACATAAAAATTGATCCTTTTGTGTTTGTGTAAATTACTGTACCTGGATGGTACATTGGGGTTGATGAATCAGAGGATGTGCAGCTCTTCTACCACTTTATCAAGTCAGAATCGAATCCTGAAACCGACCCGCTTATGCTTTGGTTAACTGGAGGCCCTGGTTGCAGTTCATTTTCTGGGCTGGCTTATGAGATTGGTAAGATTGATTTCTATTAACGGTTACCTATTGTTGTTTCAATCTCAACGAATTCTTGCTTTCTGTGTTGATGGGATCATTGGGTTTTTTTGTAAAATTTTCAGCACATTTATTGGTCTCTACATTTGCAAAATCTTGAAATCTTGAAAGTGTTGCGCAGTAGCACCGAGAACATCATGAACACAACTGCCTTTAGTTATGAATCGTCTATTTGAACAAGTAACAAACTCCGGAATTTTTGCAGGGCCAATTAAGTTTGAGCCATTCCTGTATGATGAGAGTTTGCCCAAGTTGATGATCAATCCATATTCTTGGACAAAGGTAATTTCATTTGTTTTCTTCCCCTGGACTAACATCAGCTTTTAACGATTTGAGTTGCACAAGATTCAAAATGATGGCGGTTCTTATTTGTTACTAGCTAGCAAGCATCATCTTTGTGGATCAACCTATAGGAACTGGATTTTCTTATGCCAGAACTGCCAAAGCTTCTCCTTCTAGTGATCTACAAGTCTCTGATCAACTCTATGAGTTTCTTAAGAAGGTAAGTGTCATGAATCATGACAGTTAGGGCAGAATTGACGCATTTCTTAATCACCGTACGTGATTGGTGATCATGTGGTGAATTGGAGGGTACCACTAATGTAAAATTAGGAGAGTTTGAGAATGAATTAGGAAATTGATTGTAGTCCAATATTACATTTGAATACCTAGCTCCTTTCCTTGATAGAGATTACAGGTCTGCTGTGTGCGCTATGTTATCCTTCCTCCATTTTGCAGTTAATCAATTTTATGAATTCCTTCAGAACGTAGATGACACAGACGGATCCTGCAGTAACTTAATAAATTTCTAAATCATGCATTATAACTCCATGGTGTTACAAGTCCATGTGCATTGTGAACTTCTTCATAAACTCTGCAGCTAACAGAACATTCATGCCTGTCTCCCTGAATTGTTTGTATGAGGAACTAGTTAAATTTTGTCTCTTGATTACTTGACAGTGGCTGATTGATCACCCTGAATTCAGTTCAAATCCATTTTATGTTGGTGGAGACTCGTACGCAGGCATTATAGTTCCAATTGTTTCTCAACTTATATCAAATGGTATGACTTGAAAATCATTTACATCTTGGTTTAGATGCTGGGACTTTTCTGAAAATGTTAATGGTTGTCAAGCTTAGACTCTAGAGAGATCTAAATTTAGAGATGTACCTGTTGTATCTGGATCCTATAATCTTATGTTAAGTGGGATAAACAAGTCTGATGTGTATCGTTAGAGAAAGCTCTATTGCAGGGAGTATGGTTCCTTCGCCGATAGAGTTTTCGCAAATTATATGCATACAACAACTTTTTTTTCGTCTAGCCTCATTCCGCTTAGCTTGGTTTCATGAAGTTATCATCAAGATTCATTTTCTTCGAAGTTTTAATTATGTGGTTTGTATCTTTCTTGTGTCACACTTTTAGTTGAGCATAAACACTACACCTGTGGATATCAGGCACTGGCTAAAACCTAGAAGTCGTACGAGGAAAACATATAAACAAACATTTACACCTTCCGACTGTAAAAGAGTAGTATCGGAGGATACAAGGATCTGAAACTTGATAATGTTTCATAAAATGCAGGAAATGCAGTCGGAGTTGAGCCAAAGATCAATCTGAAGGTTTGTACCTCTTTGAACCCTCGCTTCTGACAAAACAAACTAGGCAAAATGTCTCCATCATTATGTTGGAACTGAAAATTGCAATTTCTTATAGAATCCTATTAGATTTCTTTTAGTCACCACAGCAAATAGCAAGCAGTTTGTCACATGGTACTCATTTACATTTTCATTATGGATCCCTGTTGTTTTTGTTTATATTTCTAAGATGCCGCAGCCATCAAATAACTTCAGGGTTAGTGCTGGGAAACCCGTTGACAAATGCAGCTGGAAAGAACTTTCGAATCCCTATTGCTCATGGGTTTGGACTTTGGACTAATTTCAAATGAACTGTACCAGGTTGTATAGTCTTTCAATAGCCTAACAATCAACTTCTTGGGAAATACTTTTCTGATTATTTACTAGTTCTTAACTGTTTTGCAGTCCTTGAAGGATACCTGCAAAGGAGAATATTACCAAATAGATCCCAGTAATGCACTCTGCTTACGATATATGCAGACACTCAATCAGGCAAATAAATTATTTTTCTCTTGTTCAATATAGGTTTTATGGCACCCAGATTCAGTCCAGCTATCTTCATTAAAAAGTCATGAGGCAAAATTCTTATCTTGCAGTTGCTTAGTGATCTTGTTTTTGATCATACCCTTGAGAAAAAATGTCCTTTCGCTTCGCCAGAACCAAGCAAAAACTTTGATGGGAGGATATCAGCTATTGACACTTTCAATCTGAAGACTGAAGAGCTCAAAGTTCAGGAACCTATCCCAATTAAATGTCGTGTAAGATATTCGTATCACCAAATCTCTTTCGCAATGACGATTGAATTTTTTCTTTTATAAGTGATGCATTTGTCCTTTTGATTATTATGACAGATTGACGGTTATTGGCTAGCTTATTGCTGGTCTAACGACAAAAGCGTCCAGGAAGCCCTCCATGTCCACAAGGTATCCAATCTTTGGTGGTAAGAATTTGCTTTCCTTTTGAGACAAGCGCCTGTAAGTACATGTTGTCTGTAATTGTGTACGCATCCATGTTTTTGAGCACATTGAGCTGGCAGGGAAGCATTGTTGAGTGGATACGATGCAACCGTGGTTTGCCATACACTACTTCTGTTGGAGATGTTGTACCCTATCATGCTAACATTAGTATGAAGGGTTACCGATCTCTTGTATACAGGTAGGACTTAAATGCCTGGTTTATACTATTAAGCACTAATTAAGTGGTACAAATATGTGGATCAATAGGCCCTAATATTAAAATTTTCCAAATTCAGTGGTGACCATGATTTGCTTGTACCTCATTTGGCCACTCAAGCATGGATAAAATCTCTAAATTACCACATCATTGATGATTGGAGACAATGGATTGTTGGTGGTCAAGTTGCCGGGTAAGATAGATTATTGTTTATACCCTAAGTCCTAACTTGTATGAAGACTCTTCAGAGTAACTTATGAATTGTTGCCTGCATAATGTAGTTATACAAGGACTTATGCCAACAAGATGACCTTTGCGACAGTAAAGGCAAGAATCTCCTCCTTTTTCCCTTTCCTTGATACGTGATTATATTACTATCATTCTGAAATTTGTTGGGACTAACCATATAATTTCATGCTGGTTTGTATAAAAGGGAGGGGGTCATATTGCGCAAGAGTACAATCCAGAAGAATGTCTAGCCATGTTGCAGAGGTGGATATCTAATGAAGCACTCTAGTGAGTTGGCAGAGATCCCACTTACATCTTTACTCATTCTTCAGTATCTAGATCAATTTGTTCTTACAGAACTATTAAAGCATTTAAGAGTAAATATTGAATAAAATGATAAATTACTTTTTGGAAAAATCCGGGCCCGTGCAATATTTTTGGATGAATTATCAAAGAATATTCCTCCATTGATATTGTCAGTTTTCAATTTGATTTCCGTCTATACTCAGTATATATAGGACACGGGCGTTGTTCTTCTTGTTTTATGATTGTATTATATCTGTTATATAACTATAAACTGTGGCTTATGCCCAAAATTTTGAAGCTTCAATCTTTGCAAACTTTTGCAGAAACGGCAAGTGTCTTCTTAAGGGTCTCAACTCTCAATGCAATCTCTATTTTAGTTGTGCCTTGATTTTAAGCCAAAATAAGCCATAAATTAATTTATCAAAGATATTACTATCAATTTTTCCTCTATTGTCAATATTACTCTCTCTGTCCCATTTTATATAAGTAGCTAGAATAGATTGTGGTCTCTATATAAAACGCATGTTTGGCGGGCTATAGCATCTAGGAATTTGGTCCTTCCTTCGTCCAATTCGATATATATAACTTAACGACAGTTACACGCACTGGCAAAGAAGGTGTTTATTGCCAAGGACTGACAAGGTAGAAATTATTTGACCAACATGGTCTTTCTAAAAAGGTCATATGCATGGAGGAGGAAACTTAAGGTACCAAAAATGAATAAATAAACGATTGTGAAAAAAAATTGGAAAAAAAAAAAGAAGAAGAAATACTATTACAAATGTTAAGAGTCAAACCAAAAACCTTGCTGCCCGATAAAAAAAAAAAAAAAAGAGTAGTAGTATGCTTAGTTTTTCCCAAATGTTTAAGGAGATTGGCCAACGAAACTGGACAGGAAAGCAGGAACAAAAGCTAGTGATTCATTTAAAATTTTAATACAATAATACTCCCTCCTATTCTTAATATAAAGTATTTTAATTTATTCTACATTTCATCTGTAATGTATTTTTAATTAAAAAAAATATTAAAATTATATTTTCACATTCTTCGTGTTCTCCTAATTGTTAGAAAATGTTAAAAAAAAAAAAAAAAGTAGTATGCTTAGTTTTTCCCAAATTTTTAAGGAGATTGGCCAACGAAACTGGACAGGAAAGCAGGAACAAAAGCTAGTGATTGATAAACTACATTATTTTAATTCGATTGGCGTAAATGAACATATGAAAAATTATGATACCAACCAATAGGTGGAGAGAAAGATTCAGAATCAGGCCATTTGATATGTAAGATGACGGACTTGGAATGTAGTCCCCTTTGAGGAATCAAGATTGCAATTCCGAGTTTGACTTATGATCATACCGTAAAATGGCCAAACATTTTAAACCCAGATCAAAAGGGAATCAGAATCCATTCTTCTGCCATCTGTTTTTGCAGCTTCGGCTCTTTCAAAGTTGGTCAAGCCTTGGTAAGGTGGTTCAATAGTTAACTATAAGAAAAGATAAGAATTCGATCGTTTTGTGTTTGTGTAAATTATTGTACGCCATCCATGTATTTTGTTCTTGTAGAAATTGCATCTTAGGTTCTAAGCAGAAAATATATAGCTCAAATCATGCTAATTAGGCCAAAGCCAACCTTGTAGAAATGAAGATTAGAGATCACTGCTGAAAACAGTACTAAGATCTCATTTCACTAACCAGGTTTTCTACACTACATTCTTTAAGCAAGAAGTTATTTCACACTTAAAAAAAGTGTACAAACAGGCGGCTGAGGCTCATAATGACACTGTCGATTATTACAACTGGGAAAGAAGTTGGATTATTTCTGGACTTGGCCTAAACTTAACAAGCAGAGGATCGTGTCTAGCCATGTGAAATCCTGATCCTTCAGTGCTCATATCAATCAATTCGTCTCCGACTCTTTTCCAATCAAAGCATTGACGGAGCGATCCCAATGTCAGCCCGAGAACTCGCATTGCCAAATTATCACCTGGACATCGTCTCCGGCCATACCCAAATGGCATGAACACAACCCTTCCTCTTTGTTCATCCAAGTTCACGAACCTTTCCGGCTTAAACTTCGCGCTCTCGTCCCAAATCTTTGCATCATTCTGCATTGCCCAAATGTTGACCAGCAGTATTGTACCGCGAGGGATTCGATAACCTCCCACGACGCAGTCTTCTGATGACATGCGGGGAACAAGAATGGGGGAAGGTGGGTACATCCTACGTGTTTCAGATATCACTCCATGAAGGTATGGAAGCTGATGAACTCCAAGGAAGATCAGCATGAATGTGATGATCAAGATTCAATCAAAGTCATGGCGGGAAGACTAGCTTAAAAAATAGAAGGACAGTGTAAATGTGTTTGTACAGATATGCCCCTGTTGTAGTTAGTGTTGCAGTTTATTTAGTAAGGGTGGTTCTGTCATTCATCCTTATGACGGTTAACCGACATTAGTCGCCTTAAACTGTATAAATAACATAATTAGCATAATTAATGGATCGGATTAGTCTGACACAATTAATTCTCTGTCTAAAATCGTCTTTCCCCAAATTAATCATTCACAAACCCTAACTTCCATAGCCAAATCTTGCTCATGGTATCAGAGCAGGTCTATTCCTACCTGATCTGGGCCGAGAAATCAATTCTACTACGCCTCCGCTACAAAACCTCACCGGAATTTTGAAGAATGGAGTCGATTCGAGTAGGATCGAGTCACAGTGGAGATCTTCAAGCGGATGAGCTTGGAGCTGGACTCGGTCGTGCAAAAATGTCGTTCCTGCCCAAAGCTTTGTCCTCGTCGTTAATTATATCCAATAGATTAACGGATGGGTATAATTGACGACGAGGGCAAAGTTTTGGGTAAGAACGATATTTTTTTCAAGATATCGGTCAAGAAACCTCAAGATAGAGGAGTGAAGATCGAGAGATAGAGCTGTATATAGAAGAACAAATTCAGATACATGGATCTGATAATTCTAGAATGTTTCTAGTAAGTACTCCTCTGATGACATCTGATTACTTAATGTGGAGAATGTCGATGATAACTGCGTTAAACGCAAAGGCGAAGCTAGGTTTTATTGATGGAACTTGTAAGAAACCGCCGCTTAGTTCAATTGCATTTCTTTGTTTGTCAAGAGCAAACAATATGGTTAGATCATGGAATTTGAGTGCCGTAGAACCTTCACAGATTAGTAGTTTCATGTATAGGATGCTAAAGAACTTTGGGAAGTGATAGCAATCAGATATGGAAAGGCAAATAGTTCTTTGGTGTATCATTTAAGACGAGATTTGGCACTAATAAGTCCGGGAGATATGAATATGATTGAATATTATAACAAAGTGAACAAACTCTGGGATGATTACAATCAGTGGACACCACCTGTTTTGTGTTCTTGTGAAGGGAAGAAGCATTTTGATGCCAGGGATGCAGAGCATAAGGTTTATCAATTGCTTATGGGACTTAATGACTGCTAAGATTCAATCAGAAATGAAATATTCAGGATGAGTCCTTTGCCTGATATAAACACTATCTTTGCCATGTTATTAAAGGAAGAGACTCAAAGGAATGTAAGCACTGGACTGATGATAAAGTCTGAGAACTCAGCACTGATGACTAGATTGCATGCAACTACAGGAAATCCGGCACGGATTTTACCTAAACCAACAATTCCTATGATACAGCCACAATTACAGCCACAACCAGTTAAGAAGCAGGAAGGCAGCTTCAGGTATATGAAGATACAAGCCAAGAAAAAGAAAATGAAGTTTTTTTGTAATCACTGCAAGAGGAATGGTCATTTAAAGGAGGATTGCTTCTTATTGAAGGGGTTTCCAGAATGGTGGGGTACTCAAAGGGGACCAAATAACTCTAATTCACATGCTGCACACTTAGTTGATACTCCACTTGAGGTAGAAAGTCCAGGAACAGCCATTCAGAGCTGGTCACCACAAATCTCTGACAATTTACAGCTACAGGAGCAAGGAAAAGGAAACTGACAAAGCATTTTGTCCAGCCTCGTTCAAACAGAAGTTGGGAAACTTCTCAAGGGAAAAAGAGCAGCTCTGGATCAAGGTGCGGGAATGTCAGTGAACTACAGTCACTTCAATGACCTTGCAGGTAGCACAATCATTACTCATTTAAGTTCTAACTTGGTTGAATTAAGTTGTGTTTTTTGGGTAACTGATACAGGAGCCACTAGACATATGTGATGTTCTCTTCAATCCTTTACCACTTTCAAATTTGTTACTACCTACGCTCCAATTTTCTTACCTGATGGTAGCATTAACTCAGTAGAAAACATAGGAGACATCAAACTTTCCAGCACATAACTTTATCTTCTGTGTTGCATGTTCCAACCTTTAAACACAACCTTCTTTCAATCAGAAAATTAGCTCAAACTTCAAACATTTATTTCAAGTTCTTTGATGATTTCTACTTGTTGCAGGACCACAAGACTGATAAGGTCCTTGGAGCAGGCACTGTTGTCAAAGAACTTTACATCCTCACCCAATATTCTTTCACAGAAGAAGCTATTTAGAGATCACAGCTTTTATATTCAAAGATGATGTTATCTGTTTCTAGAAAAATAGATTCCTACTTTACTGATTTTACTTCAAATAAAAGGATTAGTGCCAATGTAAGTGTTGCTACATGGCATAATCATTTAGGACATCCCTCATAAATAGTGATGAAATATGTAGAACCTTGTAAATCAATCTTTGATGATCAGACAGTTAATGTACAGATCTGTGAGGTTTGTCCTTTATCAAAGCAGCATAGAAATAGTTTTCCAATTAGTTCAATTCGGACTTATAGAATCTTTGAAATGATA